CACAAATCAGTGTTGAGAACCCCCAACTTCCCATTTTAGAAATTCAGAAGCCAGAGTGGACCGGTAAACCCTACGGCGCTGCGCTTTACAGCGAGGCCAATTTTGAACGGAACTCCACCGAGCGCCAGGCATCGGGAGCCCCACGCTTATAGAACGTGTACCAAACGGGACATCTTGACTGGACAGATCAGCCGGAATTTATCAGCGATCAATGTTCAGAAGTGTCAACCAGACACACGCTCCGACAGTGGTGGTCTCACTCGCCTATATAAACCGCCGTATTTATTTATATTTTCCAAAGCAGTGTCATACGAAATCATTAATACATAAATGTTATTTCAACTATTAGTAACTATATAGAACCGGTAATCAATGAATGTAAACAACATCTTAAATGTGGTAAACACATAGTGCGAAACAGATATTACATATATATATCAGCTGAAGGTTTCACAGCTGAAAAAAACAACAACTTAAATGCGAGTTATTTCCCTTGTATCTGCAAACATGGCCTCCGTGACTTCGCATGACGACCTTTCACCGTTTCAACACTGAACAATGCAGAAATAATTGAACCGACAACGTAAGAACACATACATCTGTCTGTCTCCCAGACCTTAGAGAATAAAATAAAATTGATTCTAACTCAAGTCTAGAATGACTTGTCAAGTATACATTGCCTCAGAAAATAGGCATTGTCCTTTGCTCCATTTGGATTGTACTTTATATTTTTCTTGATATATGTTTTTAAATGATTTATTTCTGGGACTAAATGTTAATCTAATAAAACATGATATATACGACAAAAGGGACACACATGCAATGCACACGCATCATACATGTGAGTGAGTGAGTTGGGTTTAACGCCGCTTTTAACAGTATTCCAAGTATATCACGGCGTGCCAGCTTAATGTGGGTGGAAAGCCCGAAGTGATGCAGGTCTCAGACGTTTACCACTTCGGTGAAACCCACGAGCACTCTTATGGTGCTGACAAACCTGGGAAGATAATCGGGGCGAACTTGAATTCGAACCCACACTCATAAGTTTCTGACGTGCCCAAGGGACGCAACTCTGCACAGCGAATCGCGGCACCCTAGACGACTGGGCCACCTGTGCCCCTTTCACTCATGTAATAGGCATGTTCAGTGGGAACTAGTCTATGTTGAGTTGGTAGGTTTTGTAAGTAACATTGAAAAACCACATTATTTCTAAACTTTTTGTCAACTCGAACGTTCCGAAGTAAATCATTTTAAGTACAAGATAACTTCGATCCAGAGGATTCACACGGCGCAAAGAAATTTTTCAGCATACTTACCTATTGAAGCAAGTACCTACACTGTCATAAAGAGCACATGTGTAACCCAGAGGATAAAACGAATCGTAATATGCATGTGGTACCTTTAGAATCAGGAATGTGAATATGAAAGTAGAAAACATATTATGAAAACAAAACCAGTAATGTTTTCAAGGAACAAGGAGTATTAAGTTGACACAATCATAGTGGTATACATGATACTGTTGACATTGATATATCTACAGTGGTAAAGTTATTAATATGTTTTCATAAGTAATTCTTTTCAAAGTAATAGCTTCATTGTTGTAATATTATTTAATAATGAAGTAGATCAGTGGAGACATGCAGATATTGTACAAATTGAAACCCACAATGTCGGCCCTCTCAACAGACAGACCCGCTACACGGAAATGGGTCAACGTTTCACCTCATCGAAATGCTGTATGGGGAGTAGGTCGGACAGAGTAAGACTGGCACCCTGCCTTTCACCTCCTAGCGGCTACCGTATTTTAGGGCTCAGTCACACATTCAGGATTTTACTGCCGTCCTTGATAGGACCATTCCCGATTAAAATTTGTTAAAATTCTGATCAAGATCCGTGATCTGTGATTCGTGGCGGGAAATTCACAAACAATCAGATATTGTTCAGGAAACGTCCCGATTCAGCCGTTTCCAGCCGAATTCGTCCCGATTCGTCCGTTCCCAATCCGATTTGTATCTTCCGCATAGTAAAAAAACGACCGAATTTGTCCCGACAGCGTCCCGATTCTCCCGAATACGATCCGACAGAGATTAGACAGTGGCCGGACAGTGAACCGACAAAGAGGGTTCGCATTCGGCAAGACCTGGACGCAGTCTGAACTCAATCGACAAGAAACGGCAGTGAACAATTCATGTCCGTTCATCATGACAGCGCCCCGATCCACAGGACACCGTCCAGACAACACAGGACATTGTTACGATTTTGATCCGATACAGCATAATCTGTCACGACAGAGTCACGATTGTAATCCGTAGAATGTTACGGACACACCATACTGTCGGGAGTGCTAGGCCGACCTCTCTGGACCTTTCCCGATCCGTAGGACTCTGTTACGAACGTATACGACTGCGTTCAGAGAATGATAGGGCATTCCAGATCATTGATGATAGTAATCCGACTTTTTCCCTTTTCGTGTCGTAGCGCTGTCTGATTTCAAAAGGGAGCCATAATCGGCACTGTGTGAACCTGGCCTTAAAGAGACAATGATTCAGTTTAACGCATGTCACAATTAACATCACTAATAACATCGTCTGTGTATGAGGCGGCGAATGGATCAGGTGGTCAGACTCGGTGACCTTGTTCATGGCGTGTCGTCGTAGCGTGACGCCTCGACGGCGTTGGACGTTGACACATTGTCAATCACTGGTTTGTCCAGACTCAATTATTTACAAGCTGCCGTTATTTGGCGGCGCTAGGCAACAAACAAACAAAAACATCGTCTTTAGAAACCACTCGCACCAATATTGAATGATCAACCACTGACGTCAACACGCGCATAACACAAGGACAAGTATAACTGTGGATATCTCAACACGTTTTGCTCTACCAGACGACTATATGGGGCACCATGTTTGTATAACAAAGAACGACATCCCTTATACGACCATTCTTTGAAGAACGTTTCAACAATGTTTGGTGACACTGTCATGTTGTAAGATATACTTGTAGGACTCTAGTGTAAAGAAGTTTCACCATGTTACAGTGGCCCCTGGAGAAATGCCCTCCTTTGTATGGCGGTACGGCCGTACGACAAACAGCGCATTGTGAACGCAACTGTGAGGGATCAACGCTACTTGTATGGCAATACCTGAACATATTGAGAATACTTGATTATATCCTTCATCGGTGACGCCTGCTATATGCTGTGCTATTTTCGAACAAATCTACACTGTGTGGCCATACCTGGACATATTGAGATATACTTATTATATCCTACATCGGTGAAGCCTGCTATATGTTGTGATATTTTCGAACAAATCTACACTGTGTGGCAATACCTGGACATATTGCGATATACTTATTATATCCTACATCGGTGAAGCCTGCTATATGTTGTGATATTTTCGAACAAATCTACACTGTGTGGAATACCTGGACATATTGAGATATACTTGATTATACCCTACATCGGTGAAGCCTGCTATATGTTGTGATATTTTCGAACAAATCTACACTGTGTGGCATTACCTGGATAAATTGCGATATACTTGATTATATCCTATATCAGTCAAGCCTGCTATATGTTGTGATATTTTCGAACAAATCTACACTGTGTGGCAATACCTGGATATATTGAGATATACTTATTATATCCTACATCGGTGAAGCCTGCTATATGTTGTGATATTTTCGAACAAATCTACACTGTGGCATTACCTGGATATATTGAGATATACTTGATTATATCCTACATCGGTGAAGCCTGCTATATGTTGTGATATTTTCGAACAAATCTACACTGTGTGGCAATACCTGGATATATTGCAATATACTTGATTATATCCCACATCGGTGAAGCCTGCTATATGTTGTGATATTTTCGAACAAATCTACACTGTGTGGCCATACCTGCATATATTGAGATATACTTATTATATCCTACATCGGTGAAGCCTGCTATATGTTGTGATATTTTCGAACAAATCTACACTGTGTGGCCATACCTGGATATATTGCGATATACTTATTATATCCTACATCGGTGAAGCCTGCTATATGTTATGATATTTTCGAACAAATCTACACTGTGTGGCAATACCTGGATATATTGAGATATACTTATTATATCCTATATCGGTGAAGCCTGCTATATGTTGTGATATTTTCGAACAAATCTACACTGTGTGGCCATACCTGGATATATTGCAATATACTTGATTATATCCCACATCGGTGAAGCCTGCTATATGTTGTGATATTTTCGAACAAATCTACACTGTGTGGCAATACCTGCATATATTGAGATATACTTATTATATCCTACATCGGTGAAGCCTGCTATATGTTGTGATATTTTCGAACAAATCTACACTGTGGCATTACCTGGATATATTGAGATATACTTGATTATATCCTACATCGGTGAAGCCTGCTATATGTTGTGATATTTTCGAACAAATCTACACTGTGTGGCAATACCTGGATATATTGCAATATACTTGATTATATCCCACATCGGTGAAGCCTGCTATATGTTGTGATATTTTCGAACAAATCTACACTGTGTGGCCATACCTGCATATATTGAGATATACTTATTATATCCTACATCGGTGAAGCCTGCTATATGTTGTGATATTTTCGAACAAATCTACACTGTGTGGCCATACCTGGATATATTGAGATATACTTATTATATCCTACATCGGTGAAGCCTGCTATATGTTATGATATTTTCGAACAAATCTACACTGTGTGGCAATACCTGGATATATTGAGATATACTTATTATATCCTATATCGGTGAAGCCTGCTATATGTTGTGATATTTTCGAACAAATCTACACTGTGTGGCCATACCTGGATATATTGCAATATACTTGATTATATCCCACATCGGTGAAGCCTGCTATATGTTGTGATATTTTCGAACAAATCTACACTGTGTGGCCATACCTGCATATATTGAGAGATACTTATTATATCCTACATCGGTGAAGCCTGCTATATGTTGTGATATTTTCGAACAAATCTACACTGTGTGGCCATACCTGGATATATTGAGATATACTTATTATATCCTACATCGGTGAAGCCTGCTATATGTTATGATATTTTAGAACAAATCTAATCTGTGTGGCCATACCTGGATATATTTGGATATATTGAGATATACTAATTATATCATACATCGATGAAGCCTGCTAAATGTTGTGATATTTTCGAACAACTCTACACTGTGTGGCAATACCTGGATATATTGCGATATACTTGATTATATCATACACCGAAAGTGACGCCTGCTATATGTTATGATATTTCCGGCCTCATCTGCACTGTGTGTCCATAGATGGATATATTTCGATATACATGGTTAAATTATTCATCGTTGGTGACAGATGCTAGATGAAGGCGAAATCTCGTGATATTTTTGTTCAAATCATCTTTCGTAGGTGACAATAATATTTTCAGTGGTTCGTGTGATATGACATCCTATTGCACACATTGGATGTGATAATATTGATAGTATATCAAGGTGAAGGATATATAAGAATACTTTTCAGAGGATCATTCAACCGTTAAATTGATGTTGTTCTCTTGTCGTTCACTTGTTCTGTCATTCTCTGATCCAAGATTTGATAGTTCGAAACAAGTGCCGTATGACATCATCTTCCTGCAATCCAATGAGTGACAATAAAGTCACGAAAACAGTGAATTTTATTTAACTCATAACCAAACTAATCAAGTAATTGTTTTGATTTATGTGTGTCTTTCCCCACTGTGCACCAATACTAGTTTGAGAATTTGAAATGCAGCGAGTATGACGAAGGTATTCAGGGTAACTTGTGGTTTAAATGTTTTGCAGTTGCAGCTGTAGATCTCTCCCGATCAGAAAGAAAGATTGGTGGCTCAGCAACAATTTGAAGTTTTGTGACTTTGGACTATAAAGTTAATTATTAAGTCTTTTTACTGCTCTGCTGACTTGGCAGCTTACAGCAAGTCATGGCGAGGCTTGGTGTTGTGTTTTTGGCATCCTGTCTGTCCATCTGTGTGTCTGGGAGTCTGTGTCCATCTGGAACAACAAGGAAGGTGTCCCTGAATGGAAAACTTGGGTCTCAGGAGTTTCCAAATATGTTTTTCATGGAAAATATTTTATCAAACATATCAAACCCATATGAGGATGTATATCTGGATATATCAGAAAATGCTATCACAGATTTGCCGTTTCAAGTGTTCGACAGTGGAATCTTTCAACGAGTTACGTCCTTCAATTTGTCAAACAATAACCTTACAAAGATATCAGAAGGGTTATTTAACCAGTTCAGATGTTTGAAAATATTGAATTTAGATAATAATGAACTTGAGAAGATTTCAAATGATACGTTTAATTATCTCAGTGAACTTGTGGAGCTCATACTCAAGAATAATGTTCTGACAAATCTTCCCTCAGGAATCCTTGGTACTGGTGAAGAGAACTCAAACCTGAGGAGATTTGATGCATCTCGGAACAGGATCAGATTCATTGGTGACAATGTCTTCCATAAGGGTCTGGTCTTTTTGAAGGAAGTTGATCTTTCTTATAACTACCTAGAGGCATTTGAGCCCTGGCCATACATTCCTATGATACCAATCTATTCAAATAAGCCAATGTTCTTCAATCTTCAGTATAATCACATCTCACGTTTCTCAAACACTCTGGGGTGGACAATGACCAGAGAGCCTAATGTGATAGTAGATCTTACACAGAACAGACTCAGGTACTTCAGGAAAGAGAATTTCAGTCAATATTTGGCCGGACAGATACCTACAGTATTTGATATGGATGTAATGGACTTAATTGTCCGGGACAACCCATGGTTCTGTGATTGTGGATTTCATTATTTATTGATGCAATTCATTGACACGTTCTACTATAGAATGTTCCAGAGCTTCATGAGCTGTGATGGTCCCAGTGAATTCAAGGGATACAATTTCTCTTATTTCTTCAATCATCCAGACCAACTGATTTGTAATATCACAGAAAGATGTCCTGCTGACTGCAAGTGTCAAGACCGACCTCATGATGGCTACATACTTGTGGACTGCTCCAGTGCAGGAGAATACGCCGACTTACCACAGGCTGTGCCTCCGGGGCCATTGTTTCTTCAACTGTCTCATAACAAAATAACTTCATTGTCTCACAGAGATTACCTACAAAATATCACAAAACTTGATGTGTCTTCAAATAAAATTTTACATTTGGAAGATTCCTTTCTTGAGAAAGTAACAAACTTGGAATATCTTGACATTAGAAACAACGGTTTAAAGGCCTTGCCGTCAAGAATTCAAAACTTTCGCATGTCATCCGTCAGGTTCAGTGGAAACCCACTCGTCTGCTCATGTGACACCATTTGGAAAAATGATTGGGTAAGACGTAATTCTGAGAACATGTCTTCTGACTTCCTGTCTCGTCACTTGTGCTATTACAATGGACGTTATTTACGTCTTGTCGATGTGACTTGGAACTCTCTCGTCTGTTATCGAGATATCGCCATTAGTGTCAGTGTGGTGCTTGGAGTGTTACTTATCATTCTGATCATTTGTACTGTCGTCTGCTGCAAGCGGAAATACGAGTGCAAGGTTTTGATGTATGACATTTTCCGTTTTCATCCATTTGACAAAGAATCATGTGACAATGCAGACGATGCTACGAAAATATATGATGTGTACCTGTCTATGGATAGGGAAAATGAAGACATCAGACTATGGGTGAAAGATGAACTTTTGAAACGACTCGAAAAAAAGTCAAAGTCTCGTCCAGTGTACAAGGTGTATTACCCCTGTCGCCAGGACGACTTTGGGGATAGTATAGCAGATCAGATGGTGGAGAACATCAACAAAAGTAGAAGAGTTCTTGCCATTGTAAATAGCTCCTATCTTCAAAACGGCTGGTCCATAGAAGAATTCGATCATGGACATGATCTTATGGAAAAAACTAAATCAGGTCGTCTGATTGTTTTGCTGCACGGTGACCTTGACCTCTCTACTGTGACACAGGAGCCATTGAAGACCTACTTAAGTGGACGTCAATGTTTAAATGTCTCTGACCGGTGGTTGTGGCAGAAACTAAGGTACGAACTGCCTCACAGATATCATAAAGATTACATCTTCTTTAACGTGAATGAGGCGGTGTAAGGGAAGATGTTACCTGGTGATTTCTGGATATGCCAGATTTTGACTGATCTCATTAAATCAGATCTTAAGGACATCCGTACTTATTTTTGTGTTTCTCATCTCAATGGTTTGTTCCAAGAGGGGGCGGAAAAAGAAACAAAAGGTGAAAAAGCTTCTTTTTTGCAGAATACCTATTCAAGGCTTAAGGTGAGGTGACATGGGGTTTAACGTCGCCTCCAAGATTATCGCACTTATATAGCGACGCGCATGTACGTGTATGTGTTTGTGTGGCTGCTTGTACTAGTCTGGACTGGTGCCGATTTATAGTGCTAGCACACTGAGATACCATGCCGTAGTTTAACATGAATACCTCACTCAGACACAGTATACTGACTCCGAGTCGACCAGTCCTTGTTTTAACCCCTTAATGTCCAGCGCCAGACAGGGTAACAACAAGTACCAACTTTTAACGTCTTTTGGTATGACGCGGCCGGGGATCGAACCCCGGACCTTCCGCTCTCTGGGCGGAAGTTCTACCACCAGATCACGGAGGCGGTCCTTTAAGCAGTTGGAATACGGTGACATGCATCAACCAAGTCAGCGATCCTGACCACCCGATCCCGTTAGTCGCATCTTACGAAAAGCATAGTCGCCTCCGGGCGGACGCTCTACCACTAGACCACGGAGGCGGTCTCAAGGCTTTAACAATCAAAACCAAGTATTTGACAATTTTAACATATGTCTGGTCGACTAATGAGAGCAGGGTGAGCCCGAAAACCGAAATTTAAACACATTGTGGATAGGGATCTGAAATGAAAGCACATGTAGATTAAAAAAGAAACCATCACCATCAAGTCATAATGTAATTATAAAACATCCTTAACATTGACATAGAACAGGTCCGAATCAGTTCTAAAGTCACTTTATTTTAAAACAAATATGTGTCTTCTGACATACGGAGCGGTCGGGTAGCCTGGTGGTTAAAGCGTTTGTTCGTCACGCCGAAGACCCGGGTTCGATTCCCGACATGGGTACAATTTGTGAAGCCCATTTCTGGGCGTGATATTGCTGTGATATTGCTGTAATATTGCTAAAAGCGGCGTAAAACCATACTCATTCACTCTCTCACACTTCTGACATAGTCTCGAGCAAAGTGGAACCGGATACTCTAGTGTATATTTACGAACAAGGGAAACACGTTCTACGCAGGTTTATCTCCAGATAGTTTCTTATATATGTTTTGTTTTTATTTATTAGAATGTCAGATGGACAGATCTAGTAAGGTTTAAACTTTACAGAAAAAAGGCAAAATATCCTTTCCATATTGAAGCAGAGTTCATATTTAAAATCATTCGTTCAATAAATTCCTACAATATTTGGTTGGTTGGTTTGTTATTTTAAGCCGCACTCATCAATATTCCAGCTCTATGACGGAGTTTGTAAATAATCGAGTCTGGACCAGACAATCCAGTGATTAATATCATGAGCATCGATCCACGCAAATGGGATCGATGACATGCATCAGCCAAGTCAGACAGCCTGACCACCCGATCCCGTTAGTCGCCTCTTAAGACAAGCACAGTCGCCTTTTACGGCAAGCATGGGTTGCTGAAGACCTATTCTACCCCGAATCTTGACGGGTTCCTACAATATGTACATGGATGTAATATCAAATGTTTGATTTCGATTTTCACAGCTGAACGCAAATAGGACAATTGCAGTCAGTAGTCTCACAGATGTCACGCAAATTGCAGAACTATTTCATATTATTAGCACTGAAAAAAACTGAGGTTTCTCCACCCCAAAAATAGAAATCAGAATGTCTTGAATATCTTTGAAATGGGACAGTAGATCGAAGCACGTACTGGTGTCTATTTTCAATAGTGGTAACTGATCGGTAAGGTTTGGCCAACCTTTCGGTTTCGTATATATTTTATGAAGTATGAAATGACAAAATATATGTACGAATAGATTGGATCACTGTTAATGTTACCAAATTGGCTCATTGCAAGTGAATCATGCATATAGGTTGATGAAGGTAAGCTTGAACAGGATGTGTTGGTTGGGGTCAAGCTTTTTAAGGTACAGATTCACCTCTCTTATCGCTGAGAGAATCACTGAAGGTTGTAGTCAGGTTTTCAAAATTGATGGTAACTTATGCCTACTTTAACGACCAAAGCTGCACCAACTCTGAACTTCACAAATACCGTCTGTGTCACTGCAACTGTCTTGTCATGTACTTTCTCAGACATCAACACCAGTCCCTGCTTTTTATATGAACTACAGTGGAGGCGAATCCTATATCGCAACACAGGAATAAAAGTAGCAAAGAGCTGCTTCCATTCCAAGACTCTTAAAAATGCATACTGTCATTTATATATACGACCGTGGTTTTCAAACCATTGTGAAACTTGATACTTTTTTCAAGAAGGGCCATACAAATACAGATTGACCGCGGATAAATTTATAAAAAAATTGCAGGCGGCGGGAGATGAAAACACAACAATAAGTAAGAACACCCTAACGTGTCGCGAAAAAACGAACTTTCATCCGACCAATCATAGCGTCGCAAATCACAAAAGTGGCAGTCGGAATATGTTTTGTTATCCTGCAATCTCGGAAAGGTTAACACGAGGTATTCCGAACGACTTTTATGGGCTTTACGACTGATTCTGTCAAAATCATCGTCTATCTCTCGCTTCAATGGGATAAACATTTGAACAAAAGATACATTGCGTAGCCCGCGGGAAGTACTGTCTTTTGACCTATATATATTGTTGCTAACGGCGATAAATGGTGCAGTCTGAGTATACAACAACAACACCAACAACAATAACAACATAAACAACAACAACTACACAGTCATTAATGTTACAGTGCAATACTTATCGTGGATAACATCAACGGGGGGGGGGGGGGGGTCCACGGGTGGCCCAGTCGTCTAAGGCGCCGCGATTCGCTGTGCAGGGTTGCGTCCCTTGGGCACGCCAGAAACCTATGATTGTGGGTTTGAATCCCGGTTCGCCCCAATTATGTTTCTAGGTTTGTCAGCACCATACCCGTGCTCGTGGGTTTCACCGAAGTGGTAAATGTCTGAGACATGCATCACTTCGGGCTTTCCTCCCACATTAAGCTGACAAGCAGCAATATAACTGGAATATTGTTAAAAGCGGCGTTAAACCCAACTCACTCACTCACTCATTTGATGCTGTGTCATTATTTTATGTAATTGATTTATGCATCACATAACTTACGCATGAGGACAAATTCAAATAAATACGAGGGAATAGCCTTGTCACTTGTCATGCACTAAATAAAAGCAGCCAAACCATTTCCATAACCAATAGAAATATCTGCTTAGTCGACTGTACGATTCCGACTTTATCATGAGCATGTGTTTATGAATCACTATCAAATAGTAATGATATCAGGTGTTCGCGAGAAGATGAGCGTATAGTTGGTTTATTTCGTTATTTGCTAAAATAATGCTATCAAGTGAAAATGTTTTCAAATAAAATATCATAATTTATTTTCAACTATTAACTATATGGGTAAGATAAAAAAATCTATCAACCAAATAATTTCATAAACTAAACAGTTACTAGATAACTTTTTAGAGATCGATAATATTTTAGGTATATTTGAAGGTTGTCTTTTCGCCATATAACACTTGAAATAGAAGGGAACTGAAGGATCTTTGTCAACATTTAAAAAAATCAGTACGAAAGTGCATAGGTATGATTAGCCAAAAGATTTTATTTTCTATACTGCAAACGGTTTGTGATAAAAAAAAAATTCTTCATTGATGACTTTCATCTGATGAAAGACAACCAACCAACCAACCGACCAACTAACCAGTGTATCGAGCGACTGATCTATCACTCACTCACTCACTCACTCACTCAATCTTTCATTTCTGTACGGAGGAGTGAGTGATTATGGTTTTACGCCGCATTTAGCAATATTCCGCACGCGCACGCTTTAACCACTAGACTACCCGACCGCCCCTTTGTACTGAGGAGGCCACACGCCCATCTATATGTCTAATGCCGGGTTTATTACATGATAGGGTGATTGATAATTTGCTGGTTCCTTGCCTCGTAACCAGAAACGACTGTATTCTACCTTGCTTTTATACATTTTATGGCGCGAAGTATATTAAAAAAAAATTCGTGACGGATACGGTATGATACGTTGTCTGAATAATTAGGGGCACGAGTTGCGTCCCTTGATCACACGCCAGAAAACCTATGATCGAGGGTTCGAGTCCCGGTTTGCCTCGATTATGTTTCTAGGTTTGTCAGCACCATACCCGTGCACGTGGGAAACGTCTGAAACCTGCATCACTTCAGGCTTTCTTCCCACATTAAGCCCACACGCCGTGATACAACGGGAATACGGTTTAAAGCGGCGTTAAACCGAACTTACTCACCCACCACATTAACATGTTTTTGTCACTACACGATATGCATATTGAGAGTGGTCTTTGCATAAAACACAAATTGCAAACCTCTTCGTTAGCTATTAGTAGATGTCGCAGTACTGTAAGTTTGCAAAAGGATCACTTGGGACTTCAGTTTTAACCTGAAAGTAACGAATCAAATTATTGACAAGCCTCCGAGGAACAATATACGGTTTATGGCTTATGACTATACAGCGCCGTACTCGTGATCACGCATAGACAAAACGGTCTTTGCATAAAACACAAATTTCAAACCCCATTGTTAGCTATATGTCCAGCATTGTAGCAGCCTCGAGGTTTACAAAGTATTGACACGCCTCCTAGGAATGGTATACGGTTTCTTGGAAAGGAAAGACGAAATGTGCAAGAACATTGGAACACCGACACAATGTCGGTCGAAATAGAAGATTCTACTACCGCTTCAAACAATACCGTATGCAAGATCTAGCCTGTCTCACAGTCCCTGAACCACATATTTTCCTTTCCGTCCAGCCGTTTCTGTGATGGAAAAGCACTAAATGAAGAAAGTCTCGATTTTCATCATGTTCCGAATCTCCCATCTCACTGGGACTCCTTTGCAATTTAAATGGAGGTTTTTATTGTCTCTCTGCATTCTATACAATATCAGGCAACGTATTTAAGCAAATGTGATCTATATTTAGTTCAGAACATTGTTAAACAGAAACTATAAAAGTGACAACAAATACACCCTTCCAGTTAATCACTTTAAAGATTATCAACTGTAGTACTGTGTCTAAATGTGATTATTAAATACATAATATATTACTTTCAGTGACACGTGAAGATCACTTATTCAATATACATATTTCTCTCTCTTCCCCCTCTCTCTCTCCCTCGCTCTTTCTCTCTCTCTCCCCCCCCCCCCCCCTCTCTCTCTCAGTAGCAACAAATACACCCTTCTACTTAACAGCTGCAAAGCTTATCAACTGTAGTACTGTGTCTAAATTTGATTATTAAATACACAATATATTACTTTCAGTGGCAAGTGAAGATCACTTATTCCTTATACATATCTCTCTCTTTCTCTCTCTCTCTCCCTCATTCTCTCTCTTTGTCTCTCTCTCAGTAGCAACACCCTTCTACTTAACAGCTGCAAAGCTTATCAACTGTAGTTCTGTGTCTAAATTTGATTATTAAATACACAATATATTACTTTCAGTGGCAAGTGAAGATCACTTATTCATTATACATATTTCTCTCCCTTTCTCTCTCTCTCTCCCTCCCTCTCTTTCTCTCTCCCTCCCTCTCTTTCCCCTCTCTCCCCTTTCTCTCTCTCTCTCCCCCTCCCTCTCTTTCTCACTCCCTCCCTCTCTTTCCCCTCTCTCTCTTTCTCTCTCTCTCCCCTCTTTCTCTCTTTTTTTTCTCTCTTTCTTTCTCTCAGTAGGAACACCCTTCTACTTAACAGCTGCAATGCTTATCAACTGTAGTACTGTGTCTAAAGTTGATTATTAAATACACAATTTATTACTTTCAGTGGCAAGTGAAGATCACTTATTCCTTATACATATCACTCTCTCTCTCTCCCTCATTCTCTCTCTCTTTTTCTCTCTCTCAGTAGCAACACCCTTCTACTTAACAGCTGCAAAGCTTAACAACTGTAGTTCTGTGTCTAAATTTGATTATTAAATACACAATATATTACTTTCAGTGGCAAGTGAAGATCACTTATTCATTATACATCTTTCTCTCCCTTTCTCTCTCTCTCTCTCTCCCTCCCTCCCTCTCTTTCTCTCTCCCTCCCTCTCTTTCCCCTCTCTCCCCTTTCTCTCTCTCTCTCTCCCTCCCTCTCTTTCTCACTCCCTCCCTCTCTTTCCCCTCTCTCTTTCTCTCTCCCCCTCTTTCTCTCTTTTTTTCTCTCTTTCTTTCTCTCAGTAGCAACACCCTTCTCCTTAACAGCTGCAATGCTTATCAACTGTAGTGCTGTGTCTAAAGTTGATTATTAAATACACAATATATTACTTTCAGTGGCAAGTGAAGATCACTTATTCATTATACATATTTTTTTTTCTCTCTCTCTCTCTCTTTCCCGTCTCTCTCCCTCTCTTTCTCACTCCCTCACTCTCTTTCCCCTCTCTCCCCCTCATTCTTTCTCTCTCTCTCTCTCTCTCTCTCTCTCTCTCTCTCTCTCTCTCAGTAGCACCACCCTTCTACTTAACAGCTGCTATGCTTATCAACTGTAGTACTGTGTCTAAATTTGATTATTAAATACACAATATATTACTTTCAGTGGCAAGTGAAGATCATTTATTCATTATACATATCACTCTCTCTCTCTCCCTCATTCTCTCTCTCCCTCCCTCCCCCTCTCTCTCTCTTTCTCTCTCTCTGGGGGAAAGGAAAGTCAAGGGTAGGGGGAGGGAGGAGATATAAGGTGAAAAGTTTCAGTCTGACCCAATGAGGCGGCACGCGGTACTTATAGAGAGCTTGTTTGAGGGAACCGATATGATGTCGTCGTCGAGAGAATACACCAAGACATGGCGACGCCTCTTGTTAAAATCCAACGAAAGAAAAGTGTGTGATAGCGCGAGTGTGTTCCGGCTGTGATGCAGTGGATAGTGAATAATACAGCCTGTCATTTCCAGCCAGGGAGTGTCACATTTAAACAGGGACCGGTACTGAATCCTGCATGTGTGTGTGTGTCATACATCAATATATTGGTTTCCCAGTCCACGTCTGTGTGCTCCAATTTCGTGGATGTGTGTGTACTGTTATAACGTCGTTGAGCGTTGGGATAAGTATCTTATATCACATACAGATGTAACGACTTATTTATCAAGAGTGTGTGTGACTACGACTGGATGATAATGCTATGTATACCATGACTGTGTGTGGCGGTTGCTGATGCTCTGATACACGAAGGATACTGTATTTAGGTCAAGGCAACGGACCAGGCAATGCATGCAGAAAAACACATGGGGAATATGCCTCGCTCAAAGGAATGATCATGAAATATTGCGCAACGGTAGGACATTATTCTGATCTGTTGGGGCAGAAACGCCACGAATGTTACAGTGTCAACTGAGGGGGCTGTTAAAATCCTGCTGAACCATTATGTACTTTTAAAGAATTTTATTGGAAACGTACACACTAGGATAAGGAATCCAAGTCTTGATTCAGTTCGTAGGTAACGTGAATTACGGCATACATACTTCATTCAGTCAAATAGTGAGTCGGAGTATATATATCACCGTATACATCATAAATGAAAGTTTGACGTCAAGATAAATATATCGAGCTATTACAAGTAAACGCCATCAGAAAAGACGAAACATCCTAAGTCAAGACGTTACCACAGTAGTGTGATTTAATGGTGCTTCTCTGTCAACATACATGTATAACATGACAGTGCACCATGACATACTTGACCTTCTGAAGTAAGCCTGACCACCATTGTGACATGCGGTATTCTGACCGAGGAATAAACACTCAGCAAGACATTCTGCAGGAAGATGATGTGACTTTTAAAGCAGTGTTTATTTCTTCAAATGACTTGTTTCACCATTGACAAGGTTTCATCCGCCTCATCTCATGAATTGCCTTTCTTATATCAGTTGGGATCTACTCTCCATATTAACACCATCAATACCAATGAAGAAAATTTGGCGAATGTTGTGATTTGAATTGAAAAGGCCTAAGTTATGTATCATATTCCATCATCAGTTTATCTATTCAACTCGGACACCTTACACACCACAGTAAGAAGATCCCTCTCCATCAGACATAAAGCTTTCAGCAACATGGATTAACAATTTGAAGTGTTGCACTTGATGTCTGGGACCAATTCAAGAATAAAGACGTAGTGGTTCAACTCATCTTCTGAACTGGGCAGCTACTAAGTCATGGCGAGGCTTGGTGTTGTGTTGTTGGCATCATGTCTGTCCATCTGTGTGTCTGGGAGTCTGTGTCCATCTGGAACAACAAGGAAGGTGTCACTGAATGGAAAACTTGGGTCTCAGGAGTTTCCAAATCTATTTTTCATGGAAAATATTTTATCAAACATGACAAACCTGGGGGAGGATGTACATCTGGATATATCAGAAAATGCTATTACAGATTTGCCGTTTCAAGTATTCAACCACACAATCTTTCAACGAGTTACTTCCTTGAATTTGTCAAACAATAACCTAACAAATATATCAGAAGGGTTATTTAACCAGTTCAAGTGTTTAAAAATCTTAAATTTAGCTGATAATGAACTTGAGATGATTTCAAATGATGCATTTAATGAACTCAGTGATCTTGTGGAGCTCATACTCAAGAATAATGTTCTGACAAATCTTCCCTCAGGAATCCTTGGTACTGGTGAAGAGAACTCAAACCTGAGGAGATTTGATGCATCTCGGAACAGGATCAGATTCATTGGTGGCAATGTCTTCCATAAGGGTCTGGTCTTTCTGAAGGAAGTTGATCTTTCTTATAACTACCTAGAGGCATTTGAGCCCTGGCCATACATTCCAAGGATATCAAAATATACAAATAAGCGAATGTCCTTCAATCTTCAGTATAATCACATCTCACGTTTCTCAAACACTCTGGGGTGGACAATGCTCAGAGAGCCCAATGTGATAGTAGATCTTACACACAACAGACTCAGGTACTTCAGGAAAGAGAATTTCAGTCAATATTTGGCCGGACAGATGCCTACAATAGCTCACATAGGTGAAATGGGGATCATTGTCCGGGACAACCCATGGTTCTGTGATTGTGGATTACATTATTTATTGATGCAATTCATTGACACGTTCTATTATAGTATGGCCCAAAACTTCATGAGCTGTGATGGTCCCAGTGAATTCAAGGGATACAATCTTTCTTATTTCTTCAATCATCCAGACCAACTTATTTGTAATATCACAGAAAGATGTCCTGCTGACTGCAAGTGCCAAGACCGACCTCATGATGGCTACATACTTGTGGACTGCTCCAGTGCAGGAGAATACGCCGACTTACCACAGACTGTGCCTCCGGGGCCATTGTTTCTTCAACTGTCTCATAACAAGATCACTTCATTGTCTCGCAGAGATTACCTACAAAATATCACAAAACTTGATGTGTCTTCAAATAACATTTTACATTTGGAAGATTCCTTTCTTGAGAAAGTAACAAGCCTTGAATATATTGACATTAGAAACAACAGCTTAAAGACCTTACCGTCAAGAATTCAAAACGTTCGCATGTCATCCGTCAGGTTCAGTGGAAACCCACTCGTCTGCTCATGTGACACCATTTGGATAAATGATTGGGTAAGACGTAATTCTGAGAACATGTCTTCTGACTTCCTGTCTCGTCACTTGTGCTATTACAATGGACGTTATTTACGTCTTGTCGATGTGACTTGGAACTCTCTCGTCTGTTATCGAGATATCGCCATTAGTGTCAGTGTGGTGCTTGGAGTGTTACTTATCATTCTGATCATTTGTACTGTCGTCTGCTGTAAACGGAAATACGAGTGCAAGGTTTTGATGTATGACATTTTCCGTTTTCATCTTTTTGACCAAGAACCATGTGATAAAGCAGACAACACTTTGAAAATATATGATGTGTACCTTTCTATGGATAGGGAAAATGAAGACATCCGACTTTGGGTGAAAGATGAACTTTTGAAACGACTCGAAAAAAAGGCAAAGTCTCGTCCAGCATACAAAGTGTATTACCCCTGTCGTCAGGACGACTTTGGGGACAGTATAGCAGATCAGATGGTGGAAAACATCAACAAAAGTAGAAGAGTTCTTGCCATTGTAAATAGCTCCTATCTTCAAAACGGCTGGTCCATAGAAGAATTCGACCTCGCACATCGTCTTATGGAAGAAACTAAATCAGGTCGTCTGATTGTTTTGCTGCACGGTGACCTTGACCTGTCTACTGTGACACAGGAGCCATTGAAGACCTACTTAAGTGGACGTCAATGTTTGAATGTCTCTGACCGGTGGTTGTGGCAGAAACTAAGGTACGAATTGCCTCAAAACCTTTGAACCAACCCGATTTCTGCGTCCAGAGGGAGCCTCATGAGTGGTATCAGTAATACCAGAACTTCCCTTGACATCTCCTTGAGAGAAACTGCTGGGTAGATTCAGCTCAAACTGAAGACAACAAAATAAGGAGTGTGTGAGTTGCATTTAAGTCGTCTTTGACAGTATTTGTATGTATATGAAGGTCTGTCCACATATTGTGGATGTAAGCCCAAAGTGACGCAGGTTGCTCTAGATTATTACAATGCTATTGATCCTTTTGTTAAAATAATTATTATTGCATTTATAAAGGGTATTTTGGACGATTTTCAGGTGATTAGTTTTGTCCAGAAAACAATCAAGTTACTCATTACAGTGATGTAAAGTGGTTTGCGTCCCATTTCTGCATACAACATATAAAGTTGAGAACTCTCTTCAATAGGTAACAATAATTTATTTTTTAACAAGATTTTTAACAAATCAAGGTGAATCTTTTCCATTAGAGTGCAGTTTGCAAAACTCAGATTTCTGAACCAAGAGTAAGGATGGGGATAACCATTTTTTTGCCATAATCCGAATGCTTTTTCAAAATCAATAAAAGCACAGAATAACTTTTTGTTTTGTGTTTTCAAAATAAGACTATACAGATTGAAGATATGGTCACTCGTAGAATATCCTTTCCAGAACCCAGCTTGAAATTCAGAGAGGGTTTCAGTGCAATCAAGAAAAGAGTGAGTGAGTGAGTTGGTGATTGAGTATGGTTTTACGCCGCCTTTAGCAATATTCCATCAATATCACGGACACCAGGGGACACCAGGGGACACCAGAAATGGGCTTCACACATTGTCCCCATGACGGGAATCGAACTCGGGTCTTCGGCGTGACGAGCGAACGCTTTAACCACTGGGCTACCCGACCGCCCATCAAGAAAAGAAGTTAGTCTGTTGTTAAGACAGATGTAAATAACTTGCTCAGACACGATAGGAGTGCTGTGGGTCTATACTTCTTTGGGTCATTTAAATCACCTTTATATCTCTAAATGGGTCTTAAAGTATTCGGTCATCTTCTGTACCTTCCTTCAGTATTTTCTGGAATGATCAACTGTAATTTATGTGTAAGTCATTAAACTTTTGTTGTAGTTTATCGCGATATGTATTACTTTATTTAATCACGGTCTTTATATGAACGACTAGCATGCAGTAAAGGCTTTTTATTGTTAATAGCTTTCCTCTTGTTAAATAATGTCCTGCTTTGGAATATTTCCCACGGGCAAGCTTGCATTCACGTCCAAACCATGGTTTACTTTTCCTTTAAGGTTTGTTATTAGATCTCTATGTATATTCCCAAAGAGCAACATTAGCAGCTGAGCTTAACATAGCACTTATCGTACTGACAACACCATTCAGTTGATTTTCTATACCATTATCTATGGGCAAGAGTGTTTTGTTGTTTAACCTGGGACAGGCGGTCTGTGAAAAATCGAGTCTGGACCAAACAATGGGCAAGTTTGTGATTGCATCACAGAGCTTCTCAATATCATATGTTTGAATTTGGGCTACACACTGGTCAACGAGTCTCTTGTCCCATTTTGGGGTTATCACATTATCATAGGTGTCCTCTTCTTTTGTGCCAGAAGAGAGTTCAATGCAGTGTCAGGGTAGAGTGTATATCTGAGAATACAAGATGGCAGCCGAATGATGCAGTACAGATGGCGCTTCAGTGTCATACGAGGGAAGTGATGTTATAGGATTATAGGCCACGCGTTTGTCAAGATGTGTATAACTGTATGACAATATCACCGCGGGAATTCGGATTCCTTGACATTTCGTTATTGAGTAAACAGGAGCTTTTGTAGATGTTTTAGATTTGGAAAAAATATTTAGTGACATGTATATAAAGTACAAAAAAATAAACATGTTTGTATTTTGAATATCATATTTGTCAGATATTCAGCAACTGGTTTGGTTTAGATCTTAAACACTAGAGGCGAATGTATAACATCACACAATGAGGTGAGTTACACAGTCTTGTGTGTATTCTATGAATAATCACCAATTTAATATTTCTGGCGCTTTCACTCTTCCCTGATTTCTAACTCGTGAGTGACAGTGTCAAGGAAGCCATGTTGTCCCTCAAACCGGTTTAAACTATTTAACAATGTGTGCTGTAGACCATTTCATTAAAGTGCACTTCCTGGTATACTCTTACGTCGCCCTTTATAAAACCACAACGGAGCATGTCAACCAATCACATCGCAAGCTCCGAGTAATGAGGGAAACCCATCGGAGCTCCGGAAATACTGCTGTTGAGTTTAAAGTGTCCGTTGACATTTGTTGCCTCATTTTAACTTTAACATGATTCACAGCCCCCATTTGGCCCATATACATAAGTAAACATTCATAACATGACCATATATACATCATTAGCGGTTTATCTGGTTGTGTTGACTTATTTCTATGTATGTTTGTTGAGGGTTATTTTGACACAGTGGGTCTATTATTCAATGTATACGCCCTTTAAATAGTACTACAGTCATATCACGGCATGTCAGCTTAATGTGAGAAGAAAGACACGCAGGTCGTGGACGTTAACCTCTGTTCAGCCCGTCTATCGCTAATACGCGAAACAGAATGCATGCGTGCGTTGTTTTAGCTGTGTGTCCAGTCAAGACGATGTTAATGTGATGTGTACAACAGTGTGTGAGTGAGTATGGTTTTGCGCCGCATTTTTAGTGCAATATTCCAGCAATATAACGGCGGGGGACACATTGCACATTAACGGCTTAAACACATTGCACCTTAAACACATTGCACATTGCAGCCGGGTCCTAGGCGTTACGAATTAACCCTTAAACCAATAGGCTAGACCAACATCTAGTCTCTGAAATGAACATATCGTACAGAAAAAAACAGTTGTTCAATTATGTTAATAAAAATAAAATGAAAAGGAGCCCAGAGAATGATAAACATTATATACTGGGAACGCCAAACAACGTCATTGCGAAATGGTTACCGTCAACACTTCTAATGACTACCCAGGACTATGAGCATCAGCAAAACTGAAATCCACATCAGCCAGATGCTGTCAGGAGAACGCTTGACAATCTTGTTTTTATCAGCGATCAATGTTCAGAAGTGTCAACCAGACACACGCTCCGACAGTGGTGGTCCCACTCGCCTATATAAACCGTCCCTTCGCCTCATATTTTCTAAAAGGCTGTCTTGATTAATACGAGCGTTTTCAAATCAGCACGAAATACATATTTAGTCACCGTGTAAGACATGCACTATCTGTATCTTAAATGTGATACATGTATGATAACCCTGGTATGCAGAATTTGATTGATATGTAGATTGTAAATATAACGACAACATCTAAAGCTCGGGCATATTCGGCAGTTTCCGATACCAAAAGGTAACGATCACAGATACTTAATCTATTAACCACTGAAGGGAGGCCATCGTCCGAGGCGACGCAATTCACTATGCAGAGTTGCGTCCCTTGGGCACAACATAATTCTATGATTGTTGGTTCGAGTCCATACCCGTGCTCGTGGATTTAACCAAAGTCGTACCCGTCTGGGGCCTGCATCACTTTGGGCTTTCCTCTCGCATCAAGCCGACACGGCGTGTTATAACTGGAATACTGTTCCATGCGGCCTTAAACCAAATCACACACTTACTAAATAAACATGTTTCCACGCTGCAGCATTTGCATACTTGGAACGGCTTTTGCTCAAAACACAAATTGCAAACCACTTCGTTAGCTGTATGTCACAGTATTGTAGAAATCCCAAGGTTTACTTGGGACTTCAGTTTTAACCTGCGAGTGACGGATCAAATTATTGACACGCCTCCGAAGAATAATATACTCAACAACAACAAATCCTGTGACACCAGTATTTTAGTGTATTTTTCATACAAGTAAAGTTTGGTTTTCAATATTGTAGTACATGTATGGGATCAAGTCACAAAAACGCAACTGCTACAGAAAAGCATGCATTTCATGCAAAAGTTGACTTTTATGTAAGCCCCATGCATTTCACTACCCAAGAATGGGTATAAAAAACATGTGCGTTAACGGGATTCCATATGCATTGTTTAGCATCGTGCTGACAACAACCACTCAGAAAAACAACAAAATTACGCAATTATTTAACATTACGAAATGCCACGCCTGTCCGAAAATGAGCGTCTGCGAGCCATTGGTATGCTTGAAGCAGGATCGAGTCAACGTGATGTTGCAAGACAATTTAACGTCCACAGAAACACCATTTGGTGTTAATGGCAACGTTGGCAACAGACGAATGCAGTCAGAGACCATCCTCGGTGTGGGAGGCCACGCGTGACCAATAATCGACAAGACAACTGGATTCGAACAACACACCTTCGAAATCGATTCCAGCCAGTAACAGTGACTGCAAGAAGCATCCCTGGCCTTCGACGAATATTTTCACAAAGCGTACGTCGTCGCCTCAGATGTGCAGGGATTGTCGCCAGAAGACCCGCCAGACATCCCAGACGTATTGACAGGAAACCACCGTAAAGAACGTCAAGCACGTCTACAGTTGTGCAGACAGCGTCTACACTGTACGGCCATGCAGTGGGGACAAGTTCTATTCACTGACGACTCTCGTTTTCACCTCAGCCACAGCGATGGACGGATTCGAGTGTACCGACGTCGAGGTGAACTTTACGTCAATCATTGTGTCATGGAAGAAGATCGGTTCGGTGGCGGCAGCGTTATTGTATGGTGTTGGATTACAGCAAGACAGAGGACCCGTTTGATAATGGTAGAGGGAAATCTCAATGGACAGCGCCACCGCGACGAGATCATCGGCCATGTTGTTCTACCGTTTTTTGCGTCGTCATGGCCCAGGCATTATCTTTCAACATGACAACGCCCGGCCTCATATTGCCCGACTTGTTCAGGATTCTCTTCAACAAAACAACGTGAATGTCATCCCCTGGCCGGCTCGCTCCCCTGATCTCTCACCAATCGAGCACATGTGGGATGAGATGGATCGGCTCCTTCGCTTTCGCGTCAACCACGTGTTCCACAGACACTCCAGGAACTTCGAAACATGCTCCAGCAGATATGGAGAGATATCCCACAGGACTTGAGGTGGACACACACGCTACTGATTTGTAAATTGACATTTTGGCATGTTCATGGCAAATTAAACCATTTGAACACTTACAAGAGTCTTTTATCTTATGTTGCAAGCCGAAATTGTTTCAGATTTGGTAAAAAACATCACTTTGCATTAAATCTTATTCACATGGCAAAAAAAGAAAATTTTATGTGCACAAATAATGGAATAACAGCACAATATTAGCTGAGATAGAATATTTTACTGCATCTTCAAAAAGAATATCCCAATACCCTTTGCACATGATTAGGCAACGTATTCAAGCAAGTATTATCTGCATTTAGTTCAGAGCTATGTCAAACCAATGTGATAATAGTGACAACAAATGCACCTTTCAACTCGAACCGTAGCTTATCAACTGTAGTACTGTGTCTAAATGTGATTATTAAATACAGATTCATTATACATCTCTCTCTCTCTCTCTCTCTCTCTCTCTCTCACTGTCTCTCTCTCTGTCTCAGTTTCTATATCCCTCCCTGCCTCCTCCCCCCTCTCTCTCACTGTCTCAGTTGCTCTATCCCTCCCTCCCTGCCTCCTCCCCCTCCCCCCCCCCCCCCCCCCCCCCACACACACACACACACACCTCTCTCTCACTGTCTCTGTGTCTCCCTCCCTCCCTGTGTCCTTTCCTCTCTCTCTCTCTCACTGTCTCTCTCTCTCTCTGTCTCAGTTTCTCTGTCTCAGTTTCTCTATCCCTCCCAGCCTCCTCCCCCCCCCCCCCCCTCTCCTCTCTCTTTCTCGCTCTCCTTTACAATGATAGCGCTATGAAAACATGAACAATGAGAACATACGTGGACAGTTTCAATTTGCAGACGACGTAATCTATATTGTTGTTAGTGTGCATTCAACCATTGCACATTGCAGAACGGCAGGGTGCACTCAAATAATGATTTATTGTCTTCGTCGAGACAGTACGCGAAACTAGCACGACGCAGATTGTTTGAATCTAGTTAAAACCTCAAGTCTTTCTTAAAAGTCAGAGTGTTTTCCTGCAGTGACAGAGAGTGTCACCTTCAAACCGTAACAGGTGTTGCAGCCTGTATGTGTGTGTGATACATCATCACAATTTGGGGATGTTTCGTCCACATCCGGGTAATCCGAGTTCGTGGATGTGTGTGTGATATACTGTTGGCGACAACCGTTGACGAGATTTTATCACGACTGCATGTGACTATTTCGTGCTGGATGATATTGTTCTGTGTATCATGACTGTGTGTGGCGGTTGCTGATGATGTGATACACAAAGGAGACTTATTTGGGTCAAGGCAACAGACCTGGCAATGTCTGCAGCACAACATATGGGGGTATATCACGTTCAGACCTCGCCCAATGGAATGATCATAAAATAGTGTGCAAGGGCAGGCTCAGAACTCATACCCTTTGGACGTCCACATGTGCTCTGTTCCATTGACATCGGAAACGTAAATACAAGGATCGTGACATAAGGCTTTCAGCAACATGGATTAACAATTTGAAGTGTTGCACTTGATGTCTGGGACCAATTCAAGAATAAAGACGTAGTGGTTCATCTCATCTTCTGAACTGGGCAGCTACTAAGTCATGGCGAGGCTTGGTGTTGTGTTGTTGGCATACTGTCTGTCCATCTGTGTGTCTGGGAGTCTGTGTCCAGCTGGAACAACAAGGAAAGTGTCACTGAATGGAAAACTTGGGTCTCAGGAGTTTCCAAATCTATTTTTCATGGAAAATATTTTATCAAACATGACAAACCTGGGGGAGGATGTACATCTGGATATATCAGAAAATGCTATTACAGATTTGCCGTTTCAAGTATTCAACCACACAATCTTTCAACGAGTTACTTCCTTGAATTTGTCAAACAATAACCTAACAAAGATATCAGAAGGGTTATTTAACCAGTTCAAGTGTTTAAAAATCTTAAATTTAGCTGATAATGAACTTGAGAAGATTTCAAATGATGCCTTTAATGAACACAGTGATCTTGTGGAGCTCATACTCAAGAATAATGTTCTGACAAATCTTCCCTCAGGAATCCTTGGTACTGGTGAAGAGAACTCAACCCTGAGGAGATTTGATGCATCTCGGAACAGGATCAGATTCATTGGTGACAATGTCTTCCATGAGGGTCTGGTCTTTCTGGAGCAAGTTGATCTTTCTTATAACTACCTGGAGGCATTTGAGCCCTGGCCATACATTCCAAGGATATCAATCTATTCAAATAAGCTGTTCTTCAATCTTCAGTATAATCACATCTCACGTTTCTCAAACACTCTGGGGTGGACACAGATCAGAGAGCCCAATGTAATTGTTAATCTTACACACAACAGACTCAGGTACTTCAGGAAAGAGGATTTCAGTCAATATGTGGCCGGTAAGATGCCTACAATAGTTCAAATAGATGAAATGAGGCTCATTGTCCGGGACAACCCATGGTTCTGTGATTGTGGATTTCATTATTTATTGAAGCAAATCAATGACACGTTCTATTATGGTACTAATGTTGCCCAAAGCTTCATGAGCTGTGATGGTCCCAGTGAATTCAAGGGATACAATCTTTCTTATTTCTTCAATCATCCAGACCAACTTATTTGTAATATCACAGAAAGATGTCCTGCTGACTGCAAGTGTCAAGACCGACCTCATGATGGCTACATACTTGTGGACTGCTCCAGTGCAGGAGAATACGCCGACTTACCACAGACTGTGCCTCCGGGGCCATTGTTTCTTCAACTGCCTCATAACAAAATAACTTCATTGTCTCGCAGAGATTACCTACAAAATATCACAAAACTTGATGTGTCTTCAAATAACATTTTACATTTGGAAGATTCCTTTCTTGAGAAAGTAACAAGTTTGGAATATATTGACATTAGAAACAACAGTTTAAAGACTCTGCCACATAAACTTAGAAACTTTCGCATGTCATCCGTCAGGTTCAGTGGAAACCCACTCGTCTGCTCATGTGACACCATTTGGCTAAATGATTGGGTAAGACGTAATTCTGAGAACATGTCTTCTGACTTCCTGTCTCGTCATTTGTGCTATCACAATGGACGTTATTTACGTCTTGTCGATTTGAATTGGAACTCTCTCGTCTGTTATCGAGATATCGCCATTAGTGTCAGTGTGGTGCTTGGAGTGTTACTTATCATTCTCATCGTTTGTACTGTCGTCTGCTGCAAGCGGAAATACGAGTGTAAAGTATTGTTGTATGATTACTTCCATGTTCATCTTTTTGACAAAGAATCATGTGAAAAGACAGAAGATACTAAGAAAATATATGATGTGTACCTTTCTATGGATAGGGAAAACGAGGACATCCGACTTTGGGTGAAAGATGAACTTTTGAAGCGACTCGAGAAAACGTCAAAGTCTCGTCCAGTATACAAGGTGTATTACCCCTGTCGTCAGGACAACTTTGGGGACAGCATAGCAGATCAGATGGTGGAGAACATCAACAAAAGTAGAAGAGTTCTTGCCATTGTAAATAGCTCCTATCTTCAAAACGGCTGGTCATTAGAAGAATTCGACCAAGGACATGATCTTATGGAAAAAACTAAATCAGGTCGTCTGATTGTTTTACAGCACGGTGATCTTGACCTCTCTACTGTGACACAGGAGCCATTGAAGACCTACTTGAGTGGACGTCATTGTTTGAATGTCTCTGACCGGTGGTTGTGGAGGAAACTAAGATACGAACTGCCTGAAAAACCTTGAACCAACCCCATATCTGCGTCCAGGGAGAGCCTCGCGAGTGGTATCAGTACTATTCACACTTCTCTGTCCGAGAGTAGTGGAATATCTGGGAACCAGATGGACAACCCTGATTTGGTGTCGACTGATGTGGTATAGGTGTAGTGAACTTCACTTGACATCTCCTTAAGAGAAACTGCTGAGCAGATTCAGCTCAAATGTGATGGCACCAAGGTAACGAGTGTTCGAGTTGTGTTTAAGTCGTCTTTGGCAGTATTTGTATGAATATGAAGGTCTGTCCACGTATTGTGGGTGTAAGCCCAAACTGACGCAGGTCGTGCACGTTTATCGCTTTAGATTATGCCATTAATCAGTATAAATTAGCAGATCCTGAAATAATTACATGTAATGGGCGCATCTTAGACAGATGCGCTGTCGGTGTCTCGACTCCAATGTATGTTCCAAGGATTATGATTCATTTGTTACTTCATGTTCCAATCCCTGCATGAATAATGGGAAGAAAGAGATGTCCCAATACTCTCAAGCATACTGTTTCATGTATACCTTGGTAAAGGTATACTGATCGGTGTTGAAGCTCACCTGGGCTGTTGTAGATGATGTCAATCTATATGTTATTACTTGTTTTCAGAAACTGCTGATTCAAGTATGCTTAAATTTGAATCGATCGTTTTCATTTCATGTGGGCGGTCAGGTAGCCTTGTGGTTCAAGCGTTCGCTCGTCACGCCGAAGAACCGGGTTCGATTCCCGACATGGGTGCAATGTGTGAAGCCCATTTCTGGTGTCCCCCGCCGTGATATTGCTGGAATATTGCTAAAAGCGGCGTAAAAACATACTCACTCACTCACTCCTTTCATGGAGTTGCATTTTGGTTAAGCAGTCAAAATATTGTTTTTGGAAATCAGTATTGTACGTGGCATAAATTGTTAAGACTTTCACACAGTTACTTTTATGTATAAATGTTTACAAACTGTGCACAATGATTTATGTAAGTTCTATGCAGAAAGAGGTATAAAGTTAAATCTAAACAAACCAACGTGGAAGCTGGATTGTGTAGTACAGATGGCGCTCCAGCGTCATACAAGGGTAGAGTTGTAAAATAGGGTTTAGGGCCACGCGATTGTCACACAACTGTATGCATGTTTACAAGATGTGTACAACTGTATGACTTTGACAATATCACAGTGGGATTCGGATTTCTTGAAATTTCGTTATTGATTTGATAAATAGGAGCTTAAGTTAGTTAGGCTTAAGAATTACAGTAAACTACGGTTATAACGAACACGCTTATAACGAACTAACTTTTTAGTCCCGACTATTTGCTGTAGTTATGCTGTATATATGCTTATAACGAACTACGGTTATAACGAACTGAAAAAAGTAGTCCCTTTGAGTTCGTTATAACCGTAGTTTACTGTAGTTGTGTAATTGTAGAACCTTGTGGATATGCTGACCATTTCACATAACAACATACACAACTCATACAAACTATATTAAATACAAATATGGTATCTGGCAAATATTGCAAAACTGGTTTTGGTTGACATTAGTTAACAGTAGATGTGAATGTATAACATCGTGTAATCAGGTGAGCTACACTGTCCTGTGCGTTTTCAGGCATACTGAATTGCAGGCTTCGGTGAGTAATCACCAATTTAATATTTGTGTAGCTTTTGCACTGTTATGAAGGCTATGCTTATGTTGTCCCTCAAACATTCCTGAAATATTTAACTGGTCCCAGTGTGTGCTGCGTGTTGTGTGTTGTGAACCATTGTATTACCACTTCCTGGTATACTGTTACATCGGCCCTTATAACGCCTCAGCTTAGCATGAACATGCACGATCTTTTTAGATTATAAACCACTTGCCTCCGGTGTTGTATCAAACCTAACGCGGCGGGACGCATAAACAACACATATTCCCTGAACAATACTGCCACAACTTATTGTTTTCTTGCGTTAGAAACGTTTGATTCTCTAACCATATTCATAAAAATCGCAAAATTTTGGAATTCAATACACACGACGTGGAAAGAATCACTTTCTATGAACTGTTGTAGTTATCACACGGTGCACTATGGAAAACAAACGTGGATTTATCGCCACAAAGAACGAGTCTGTATTTTAGAGCAATATACTTCAGGAATCGGAGGAATTTTTTTTTGTATAAAAACTCTGTTGGGTAGTTTTTATTCAAATATTCTAGTTTGTTTGTTGTTTTACGCCGCACTATTCCAACTATATGAAGACTGTCTGTAAATAATCGAGTCTGGACCAGACATCATGACCTTTGATCCACACAATTGGGATACGACGACATTTATCAACGCGTCTGACCATCCCATCCTGTTAGTCGCCTCTTACAACAAGCATATAAATAGTTTAGTAGTTTATATATGTCAGCCTGTTGTAGAAAATATGTGTACTTATAGGCAAATAAATAGTAAGTAAAAATATTTATGATATGACTTTTTTTTTGCAAAAATCTGGCAGGCTGCCACTTGCAGTGCCGTATTGGAGCGTCACAAATCAGTGTTGAGAACCCCCAACTTCCCATTTTAGAAATTCAGAAGCCAGAGTGGACCGGTAAACCCTACGGCGCTGCGCTTTACAGCGAGGCCAATTTTGAACGGAACTCCACCGAGCGCCAGGCATCGGGAGCCCCACGCTTATAGAACGTGTACCAAACGGGACATCTTGACTGGACAGATCAGCCGGAATTTATCAGCGATCAATGTTCAGAAGTGTCAACCAGACACACGCTCCGACAGTAAAGGACTAACTGGCGTATATAAACCGTCCCTTCACGTCAAATATTCGAACATGCTGTCTTGATTAATAAGTGCGTTTTAAAATCAGTCTTGGGACGACATACATATTTAGTCACCGTATAAGATATGTACTATCTGTATCTTAAATGTGATACATTTATGATAACAAATGTATGCATAATTTGATTGGTATGTAGATTATAAATAAAACGACAACATCCAAAGCTCGGGTATATTCGGCAGTTTCCGTTGTAGATACCGGTGATGAGCTGCGATTGCTCCCACGTGAAAAATGATCCGTCCGTGTTGTGCATTCAGTGAAAAGGTGAATCATCGTCGTTCATGTTTTGCTGTAAATAAAAGCAACTGATTTAAGCGAAGAATTTCAGTTGTGACACATAATTTAACAGATAGGATACACAACAATATTATTTATAGAATACAAGATTACCTTTATTAAATTATTGTCTTAGTAAACGATCCGAAGCTTCATTAACTGCATCTGGGAGGCCTATTTTTACACTTATTCTTTTCAGACCCTCGAAGCGATTCCGAGGTAGATGAATCCTTTGAAGGAGCCGACTCAATGAGTATTGGGTGGTCGCCGCGTTTATCCTTTTGTCCCGAGAGCGTTGCTCGTGTTATCGTGCATTGGGATATTGCGATCTAATTTGTGAATACAATTGCCAAATCTTTCATCGGAATAGAATATGTTTAAACTGAAAATACTGAAATAAGAAACTAACAACCACAGACAGATTACCTATATAGTAAAATAAACCGTTACCTATTGACCATACGGTGGCACGGGTGACCAAGTCGTTAAAGGTGCCGCTATTCACCTCGCAGAGTTGCGTCCCTTTGGGCACGCCAGAAACCTGTGATTGTGGGTTCAAATCCCAGTTTGCCCCGTTTGTTTCTAGGCTTGTCAGCACCATACCCGTGCTCGTGGGTTTCACCGAAGTGGTAAAGACCTAAGACCTGCATCACTTCGGGCTTTCCTCTCACATTGAGCTGACACGCCATGATATAACTAGAACACTGTTAAAAGCGGCGTTAAACACAACTCACTCACTATTGGCCATTGTGGAAAGACCGTATTAATTTAAAAGATATCTGGTGTAGCAGCTGTAGCTAAAAAATATGTAAACTCCACGCTCAGCCCCAATTAAACACTGACTATAAATGTAAGATTATGTAAGAAGATACTACAGGGGGGCGAGTTAAAGTGTTCTCTAACTCTTCAGACTGTATTATTCCGTCTGTTTTGAAAGAGTGAGTGATCGAGTTGGGTTTAACGTCGCTTTTAACAGTATTCCAGTTATATCGCGGCGTGTCAGCTTAATGTGGGAGGAAAGCCCGAAGTGATGCAGGTCTCAGACGTTTACCACTTCGGTGAAACCCACGAGCACGGATATGGTGCTGACAAACCTAGAAACATAATCGGGGCGAACCGGGATTCGAACCCACAATCATAGGTTTCTGGCGTGCTCAAGGGACGCTACTCTGCACAGCGAATCGCGGCGCTTAAGGCAACTGGGTCACCCGTGCCCCCCTGTTTTGAAAGAAGTATTTTGAATCTGATATTTTATTGTTTTTTTTCATTGTTATTATCACTTCCTGGTACAAAAATTTGTTGGCCTCTTTGATCAAACATAGGGGCATGGACAGGCATACGTGGTTTTATGCATCCGTCTTCAGATTTTATACCACTTGCCTCCGGCTCGTATAAAACCTAACGCGGGACACATAAAAACACATATACTCTGAACGATACTGCCACAACGTACTGTTTATAGAAATGTTTGATTCTCATTAACCAGATTCATAAAACTCGCAATGTTTTGGAATTCGATACACACGACGTGAAAAGCATCACTGTATATGAACTGTTGTAGTTAACATAGGATGCACTGACCACACAAACATGAATTTACCGCTACAGAGAACGAGTCTTTTTTAGAACAATATTTTTTCAGGAATCGGAGGAATTCTATTTGTATAAAAACTCTGTTTGGTAATTTTGTATCAAATATTCTAGTAGTATATATATATATATACGCCGTATTCGAAAACACAAAAAATATGTGAAAAGGGTACTATATGTAGGAGGGTTAAAGTGTCCTCTCTTAAGACTGTATTATTGCGTCTTTTTTTAAAGAAATATTTTGAATCTGATATATATTTTATTGTTTTGTTCTGCGTGAATGAGAAATACCATTTGAAAAAAATAAATGTCATGGCCGTTTTGTTTTAATTTGAAGCTTCTGTCATATACAACAGCGAAGGGGTAGCATTCTGGTTGAAGCGTTCGTTCGTCACACCGATGGCCCGGGTTCGATCCCCGAAGTACTGATTGTGAAACCCATTCTGAAATGCAAACATTCTGATTAAACTTTAAAAAGGATGTAAAGTCAATTTATTCATTTACTGGCATTCAGGAAGAAGAAAACAGACAAATGTATGGATAAACTCTTCTGGTTTATTGCACAAAGCGACGTATCAATGTATAGTCTTACACCCTTACCAAGCTTGAGTGAGTGAGTTGGGTTTAACGCCGTTTTTAACAGTATTACAATTATATCGCGGCGTGTCAGCTTAACGTAGGAGCAAAGCCCGAGGTGATGCAGGTCTCAGGCCAAGCTTGAAACAAGTTTTAAAAAATCTATCTGGTTTTGTAGCTGTAGCTGGAAAGAATAACCAATCCCAATACAAATTCCCAGGAAACCCTCCCCCTCCCCCCAACACACACACACTCTCTCTCTCTCTCACACACACACACACACACTCTCTCTCTCACACACACACTCTCTCTCTCACACATACACACACACACACACTCTCTCTCTCTCTCACACACACACACACACACACACACACTCTCTCTCTCTCACACACACACTCTCACACACACACACACACACTCCCCCTATCTCTCTCACACACACACACACACACACACACACACACACACACACACACACACACACACACACACACACACACACACACACACACACTCACAATACAGCCCATGCAAGTTACACTTATTGAAAGAACATAAACTATTATTTGTTGAAAAAAAAGAGAGAGAAAAAATACACATAGCGTTCGTATACATTTCACGTTTCGCAATACCTTCAAATTTATTTTCAACTCAGCAGAATTCGGACCTGCAATCAATGAAGGAGTTTGTGAACAGACTATTGTTGACTCCCTCCCGCTTGGACGCAAAATGTCGAATGAAAATAACCAAATGACACGAGAATTACCATAACGCCCTCGTTGGAAGTGAATGACGATTCCTAAACTCCCCCCTGCTAATTTGAATGCGATGAGAAACACGTGCTGGCTGTTTTCAATGTCAACACGTTGATCACTGCTGTACGCTGAAGGTGGGGAGAGGTTGCCAACACAGTAGGATGCCTGTGAAATTCCCCACTTCAGTAAGCACATGACTTAAACAAAACTGGATTAGCCCCATGACATGAATTAACAATGCAGGACATGTAACATACACATTAATAACGCTGCCATTGCTCTGCCCTATTTTTTACCACGATTTGACATCTGTTCCACATCGCACTCCTCGCCAGGCTGCGAGAGGGCCTGTTTCACGTGTGTGTCAGACGCGCAACACTCAACCTCGACAACACTTTTATCGAAGATGATGCCGACCTGGAATAATTGATGCAGAACAGTGAAGCTATACCAACTTATTCAAGCTAAGTTGCTGAATATATATCTATTCTAATATCAATAGATTTGTGGATAGGCACGGGGTGTTTTAGCCGCGTGTATGTATTATTTTTATAAACAGATGGGATGAATTTGTTCGGAAATGTCATCAGATGTATTACACTTGGCCTGGGTGTAATGTAAATGGGTAAGGGACTGTGATCAAGTGTGCATGGCTTGTGGAGCAGAAGCCTGGTGAAGCCATTGTACACAATGTAACTTGGAAAACAACCCGTTTGCTTCAGGATTACCCGCCGGGAAATGGCAACGATACAATAACGAGGTAACATGCGTCAGGAAGATTTTGTGGTATTCTCTGATATACCGGTATGGTTTAAACATAGACACACAACAGCACAGAAATCGGTGGAACTAGGCGATCATGTTTTTGACTGAATTAGTTTTCAAGCAGTACTCCAAAGGGCACGGTGCCCTAGTTGTGGTGTTACCCCTGACATTAGAGATGACGGGAGGGTGCATGTATTCCCCAGCCATGCACGCAGGGCTTATCTGTGTTTACCGTTAGGAGTGGCTGCGGAGAGAGAGGTGGATTTAATGAACCTGACTTTTGACTTCAAAGATCATCCATGAATGTTGAATTAGGACCTGTTTAGTCAAGAATTAATACTTGACTTGTTGCAACATTTGCTATAAATATCACCTTGAGTTTCGCTCAGTTGGGAGGATATTGGAAGAGTCTGTGCAGCCAGGAGTACACGCGTGTAACAGTGGAACTACCTTTGAAAACTATCCTAAAACTTCTGATGTCCAGTTGTAGTGTATACGAATACAGTGGGAATGTACATGGTGTAACCAGAGTGAGCATCTACAGCGAAGCATATTCGTCCGCCCATCACGGGACAAGGAACAGGGCGTGACACAATTGTGGTAGGATAAGTGCTATGAAGGAACTTTCTCAATCCATCTTGAAATTAACCCACGATCTG